CATATACTATATATCATTTCAATTTATTAAAATTAAACAAATTAATTTCAGCTGAATAGAAAATTGGAGAACTACAATAGAAGCTACCTTCAAAATAAGTCAGATAAGAATAATACGAATAAAACATTTTTTATTCAATTCATTGTATGAATAATAAATTTAATTTGTTATTTTAATTTGCACTTTCAAGCTTCAATTGTTCCATGGCAAATTTGAATAATTCACTTCCATATTCTAGAGGTTCTTCACTACAATACGCTTCTACACGCTTCAAAATGCAGGTAATGCCATTTTAATTATGATTTTTTCAATTTCCAGGTAGTTTTCCATTGTTCAACATTATTTTATTACATGCTCAGTTAGTAGTAACTTTATTTCTTGCTTCTCTTACCGTTTGCCTTTGAAGGCCAGCAAATACTTTTTGTTGGCAGGAAAATTGTTGGACTGCACGGAGCCGGTGGCGCCGGCGCGCAGCGGGAACTGTTTGTGGAAGAGCGGTATGCTGACATCGAAACCGTGACGCATTTGGAGTACACTCATGCTGGCCTTGGCCAGGATGGCTTCGCCGGCATCGAAGCCCAGCGAATGCTCGGCATAATCCGGCCAGGTGCCCGAATAGAGATTGAATATGATATGATTGCGTCCATTATTCCAATGGGGCAGCCGGGCCAGACGCGATGGCACATTACGCACATAATCCTCAGAGAGCGAGTCGCGGTCCAGCGTATCGATGCCCAGCACAAAGAGGCAGGCGGCGGCGGGATCGCTGGTATGATAGCGCGACTCCTGTATGGCAGTGAGAATCTTCTGATAATTGGGCGAACTGGGCGGTGCAGCGCCCAGTGAATTCAACGGCTCCGGCGGGTAAACATAGACCAGAAACTGATCGTAGCATTTGGTGAAATCGAAGCATGTCTCCATCCGACAAGCAGCCACCGGTGGCTTCCGCTTGCCAGGCGCAGCAGCTGTCGCCACAGCGACCGTCGATTCGTTGGTCAGCGGCTGACGCTGCTCGTAGCCCATGAAGCTGGGCAACTGTGCGTACGGTTGGACGCCCCCATCTTTGGCCGATTCATGTTGGGCGCGACGCGGACGATGTGGCGCCACTTTCAGCCGATAGCCGCCAAAATAGCAATAGGCCAGAAATGCACACGAGACAAAGACCAGTATATAACGCTTTTTAGCCTGCATGCTGATGGAGGAGGTCCAGCTGGTTGGCTGACTGGCTGGATGCTGTGTTAACTGCTGGGTGTTGCTGGGTCGCCCAGGGGTCTACGGAACTATCCGCTAGAAGCTGAAGTTGCTAAATTGGTTGCTTTGCAGGTGGGTTGGGGTGCAGGAGGAGTGGGAGTAAGTGCTGCTACTTCGTTTTCGTTTCTAATTTAGTCTAAGCGCATTTTGTGCTGCTTCTTATTTGTTATTGTTGTTGGGTTTGTTGCTGTCGCCGCAGAAGCAGCAGCAGCAGCAGCAGTTCCTCTCTCTCGCTCTCTCCCGCTCACTAGTAATGATGGTGTTGTTGTTTTTGTTGTTGTTGGCTGCGACGTCTTTGCGCGCAACTTTTCCATACACATTTCACTTGCATGTACTAAACACTCAAATATATATTGAACGTTTGACGCAACTTTTTTTGGTTATTTTGTTTTCATTTCTATATTATATTTGTGCATTTTGCTTGCTGTATATTTTTCATTTGCTGGTGCGACGAGTTCTCGGCGTCAACAGCGGCAGCGGCAGCAACGAGCACGACAGCGACTTGGAGGCAAACATTTCTTATGCTCGCACACATTTACGTAGCGAGTGCGACTGCATTGCACAATTCACACCACTTTTCCACTTAAACTAATAATAAATATAATTAATTTGTTTTATAAACAATGCGAACGCGACACAAACTCAACACGAAACATTTTCAGCAGCGGAGAGCCACTGACTGAGAGAGAGAGCGCGTGAGAGCGTTAACCAACTGTCAAAACATTGCCAGAGTTGCCAAGCGCTGCCAGAGCCAGACAGACGTTAGCATTTAAACAAAATGTATAAAACTATTAAAATAAATATTATTGATATTATCATTTGTTTATTATTATTAATATTTGACTTATAAATTAATGATATTATATTATGCCATTATTCTCGAATTGTAGCTAAGTTTTTATCACGCTATATTGCACTTTCAGACAATTTCTACTAATTTTAGCCGCACTTTTGATGCGCGCTCCTCTTGGATACGTTTTGAAGGCTCGGCGTGTACTGCCAGTGACTTGCTAGTGTCTTTGGTCAATGAGCCTTGCTTGGAAATGCATTATTTTAACTCCTGGAAAGCGAAGGCATGCGCAGAGCACACGCAACACTGTGCGCGCCAATAGGTGGCAACGCCAAACACATACAACCGATCAGCTGTTCAGCAGATTCAACAACTCACGCTTTTTTATTGTTTTTAACGTGCGTGTGACTGTGAGGGGAAGTGTGAGAGCGAGTGTATTTGGGTGAACATGTGTAGGTGTGGGCAGGCGTAAACGTTTGCCCTCAAGCGAGGGGAGTTTGTCAAATGTAATTATACAACTACAACGACACCAAATTCAGTTGCATTTTATTTATTGTTTGGTCAAATTGATTACATTTACAAATACTGAATGAACACCCATACATGCATACATACAGTATGTAAATATTTAATTGCACCCTGGAGCAAATGATTGTTATTTGCTCAGAATATAAAAATATGTAATTTTATTTATTAACACAAAACATAATTAGCCCAACACGTTGAAGCCGCCAAAGTGCAAACAAATACAAATACATATAAACAGGAGCTGCCCGCAGTCCGTTGCTCACAGCTGAAATTGCCAAAAACAAAAATAATTTTTTTGGTCATGGCCTGGCGCATCCGCATCCGGCTCCGTCTCCGGGTCCGGCTCCAGCGCCGTTCGTCCTTTTTGGCCGCGCAATTTCCCGTTACAAACGCGTTTAGGCTGGAATTTCAATTATGCACAGGAATGCCGTCCACGACCCCGCCCCATCCGCCTACCCAGCAGCCAGCCACAGCCGCAATTATGATGTGCCCCACATAGGCAACAGCCCCCAACAAAATATGCCGGGCAGCTGTTCAGAACCACAGTTTCTGCAACTGCTGCCACTGAATGTGCCTCTGCCACCGCCCCCCACTCCTGCTCCTGCATCGGCTCCTGCTGCTACTCCTGCTGTTACCTCTGCTTCAGCCTTTATGGTTTTATAAGTTGCCTGTTCGGGTTGACTTGCATGCAAATCAAATCAGCGCCATACTAATAAAAAATAGATCCTGCTGCACAAGCACAAACACAAGCACTCCCAGCATCCTGCCCGTCATCATATAAAGAACTCAGAGCTAGACGGCCGCCAACTCAAAACAAATTGCAGCCGCACTCAACTTTTGTGTGTAGAATTTAATTTTGTTGTCACAGCCTGCATAGAGACTCTGCTCTGCACTTACATTTCTTCACGTATACATATATAAAGGCAGAGGGAAGGAGAGGGAGAGAGAGGCAGAGTGAGCATATGTGGGTGTGTGTGTGTGTGTATGTGTGAAGCAGATGCTCCTAGAGATGTGCAAAGCAATTTCAACTTTGATTTTATTTCTCATAAATAAAGACAAATGAAAAGACAAAAAATATTAAATCTATGTACATACATACATATATATAAAAAATATAGATATATAAAATATATACATACATAAAAATGAATGAAATAATATAATAATAATAGTTACCAAAATATTAATAAATAATTATTATTGACTTAACTTTGTTGCACAAACAAAGGCAATTAAATTGGAATATTTTTTTAGTTATATATAAAAATCTAAATAAAAAGCTTTCTTTCATTGCTCAAAACGCTTTTTTATTAGCACTTTTTTGGCTTCTAGCTTCTCCACAGTTTTTTCCCCATCTCCACCAGGAATTGCATATGACAAGCTGCCCCTTGTGCCATGGTCATGCACTTCGTTTCCGTTTCCGGCAGCTCTAATTAAGTGTCAGACTTCCTGGTCGTCAGCGACCACGTCGCCTGCTGCTATTCGCCTATTTCCCTTTTGCATTTTTTAATACCCTGCGAATA